GTGTGGGACTGTTTGGAAGCCCTCACAGAGCTGGGTAGTCAAAACAGACTAACCTTAGCCTGGGTACCAGGCCACAGAAGACATAAGGGCAATGAAGTGGCTAATTTACTAGCCCGAGAAGGAACCTCAAATGCTCTTATTGGCCCAGAACTCTTCTGTGGTATAACAAAAATAACTATCAGAACATGCACAAAGCAGTGGATGTTTAAAAAATCTCAGGAGTGGTGAAGAAAGTCTACAGGACAGAGACAGGCAAAAGAGTTCTTAAAAGGACCATCGCCTAACTCACCGAGCATCTACTAAGTCTTAATAGGAAAAATACTAGAGTACTAGTAGGTCTATTAACAGGGCATTGTAGGCTTAACAAACATATGTATAATATCGGTCGGACAGAAGAGACCTTGTGCCGATTCTGTCAGGAAGAGGAGGAAACGGCAGTACACGTATTGTGCTACTGCGAAGGTCTAGCAAGACTGAGATTCCTTACACTTGGAGAAAAAAAAACTAAAGGCAACTAGCTATACCGGAGAACTACATCCCAGTCTATGGAGTCTACTACAAAAGACCGAATTAGACAAGTTACTCTAAATAACGATTCAAGGATATTCACAATAGATCTGAAAAGGTCGAGGTGGGGGAGACAACATGGCCCACAGTCCTAATTAAATCTAATCTAATCTAATCTACCTATCGCATCCATGCAACATACAACCATAAAGTGCTGGACAATGCTTCAACTTGTTTTTGCCCTTTTGTAGCAAGAACTTTTTGAGGTCGTTTTTGTACTGTGCTGAGGTCAGACTCGTCAACATTGTAGATGTTTTCAGGTGTAACTTTATGTTTTTTCATGTTATTCAACAGTGGAGCGGCTGATGTGTTTTTAGATCTTCTGAGGGAAATCTGTGAATTCCGCTTCAAAAATCTCTTTATCTATTTTTGACCAGCTATTATTTTTTCGTTGTAAAAGGGGTTTTTATATCATTTTTGTGTGCAGGAAAGAGCTAACGAAATAATTAAAAATGTTAGAAAAACTTAAAAGAGCTATGAGAAAAGAATGCTTTTAGCAATAGAAAACCTTAATAAATTTAGATCGAAAAACCATAGGTTTACTAAATAAAATTTGATTCCGAAGAAAACATTACTTGTTTTAAGGCTCATATTAATGCTCAGGATTCCTCACGAGAGTGCGGCATGATCAAATTTTAACTCCTGTTGTCAAGCATACTACAATCAGATTTATCTTGTCTGATTTTCATGTAAAGACCTAAAGGAAATCATTTTTGTGAAACTGTCACCAAAATTTTAGAAAATTTGGGAAGAAGAAAATATATATTTAAATATGTTTTAAATAAAGTATTCAAAATATTTAACGCAACTGACGCAAGGATGGCGCTTTGCACATCTTGCTGGAAATCCAACAAAAGTCTATTCTGAAGTAGTCCTAGCATAACCTTAAAATGCTTTTATGCTTAAAATAATAGTAAACGATTTAATTTGGAGACGTTTTTCGGTAACAATATTTGAATTAACTTACATATTTTCGATTTATTGAAGTCGCAGATCTTATTTAAATACAATTTTTAAATAAATACGATTAAAAATATCTATATACTTTGTAGCCTAATTTCTAAGAATGTCTTTTCTGAACTGTCAGCCCGCTTACCGGGTTGCATGATGCTTTCCTTTCAGGCTCAAGGTAACTCCTGTTTATCTCAAAGCATCTGATCGAGAACTGCTTGTAGAATATACTTTTCATTTGCTCCTCTGTTCTTAAACTCATCTCGAAAAGAAACCAGTCTCCGGTTGCTTCTTTCTAATTAGTACTAGTTGGTTCTTCTTTTACCCTATTATTGGCTGGAATACGGGCTGAGGCATGATGGATTCCTAAGGGAGTAATACTTTGCGAATAGTAATTGATGCGGACAGACTATTTTGAATAGTGGTCGTAGATAAAAATTATACTTTACTCGACAAATATTAATAATACATGCAATAATAGCTGCAATACCTGCAGTACATATTTTCAGTACATCACTCTATTATTATTTCACTGTTTATATATCTGGTTAAACGTAGGTATACGTAAATTTCCAGATTCCACAAAATGTAATCTCTGCCTTTGTGTATTTCCAACCTCGATTGTGTCAACATGTATCAATATTAGTTCAACTTCATTTCTGGATGATGTCAGTCGGTTCGGAAATGTAAAATATTTAAATGTATGCAGACATGGCAAAATTGTCGTTTTATGTATTTAAATAGTATCATAATATATTTCAACTCGGAGTTTAATTTTGGCAAATACGGCAACGGCATAAAATATTCATAAAACAGAATGAATAATAGAGTTTATTTAAGAATTTGTTAGGTTAGATAATACGTTGTATGTGAAAATAAATCCTAAATGAATCTTTGGATTTCGGTTTAGGAATTTATGATATAACTGTGAAAATGTCTTAATTTTCTTTTGCGCTTTACTTTTCTTTTATTGGTATCTACTTATATATTTAGAAGTTATTTAATCAGCACTAACATTATTTATATGTAGATAAATATTCATATAATTTAAAACACTATTGTGCTATATAATATTATTTCTTATAATCTAATATTAGATTTTAGAAAAGACGTGATTTTTACTGCACTTTGAGGTAATTTATCTAATTTATTAGTTTGACTCAGTGTCTGCCATTCTTCACTTCAATAAACCAAAATTTTGCTTTAACTCTGGTCAGGAAATGTCTATAATCCGCTGTCTCTGCGTCAACATATTGTTTGTTGAGTCCTAATTTAGGTATCCACGCAAAAGTAATATCCATGTTTTTAACTTTTACATCGTAAATCAGATATTTCATTTAAGCTGCTGCTTTCTGTATACCTAATAGGGTATAGGTATCGTTCAAGGGGTTCAAGTAAAGGAAAAACTCTTTGTTTTAAATTTTGTAAATTAAAAGTTGAATATAGATCTACAACTCTTGGAAGTCATTCTTAGTCTCGCTACTCTCGATATTTACATCAAGGAGAGAATTAAACAAATAGTAGTGTCGGAAATCAAGTACTATTTATATATACACACCAATGGTTCTAAAATAAAACAAGGTTCTGGATAAACAAAAAAAATGAGATGTTAGCAATAGTGCCAGTAAAGTTCAAGCCGAGCTCACGGAAATTATCATAGCAGCAAAAAAAGTTACCAGAAACGAAAATGCTTATCTATGCAGATAGCAGACAAACACTACTCACTCTGGACAGATTACGAATTGACTCAGGGTTAATATCAGAACGTTACGAAGCTTTATTCACCTTTAGAAGGATCAAATGATCAAAAGTTACCCGACTTGCTGATTTACTAGCCAAGAAGGCAGCTAACCAAATATTTTTTAGACCTGCCCCTTTTATTAGACTGAGAACATCGGTAGTGACAGACCGAATTAAGATACATTGACTTGTGAAAGTCAGGGAATGATGAGATGAAACAAGAAACTGCAGATCTGCAGAGGAGCTTTTAAGTTATCTTGACAACACTACAATAAACATATACTTTACTATAACTAGACAGAATATGCGCCTAATCACAAGCATTGTGATTGTAATCACTCCCCAAGTGCCCTAGATTGATGCTGCGCCTTCCTCAAGGAGGTTCACAATATTCTGCCAACATGTATCCCATGGGAGAACTTTTCATTGTTCCACTTATTAGTCTCAATGCTTAAAACTGAATTTGAAATCTACAATTGTTGTATATATAATTGATAGAATTTTTGGGTCTGCTTTCCATCCAACTCTCGAGATTACTCTCACAACATCTAATCCATGCCTAAATTAGTGGTTATATTACATTTGCATCCTCTTCTTTTCGGTGAACTAACCCAAACTTCTGATTGAAGTAGATAAGTTAAAAATATCGGACATCTTATTCCACCATAAAAGTACTCTGGTAAAACTAATGCACGCGATCATAAACTATTCATTAAAACCACACTGCAAAAATTACATTTATTTATTTATATTGTACTTTGACAATGATCAATCATCAATAAGGCGTGGCTCCATTGTCTTGGGTATTTTTTTTGTTCATCTATTCTGTAACCTCTGTTAAATGGGTAAAAGCATCCTTACGACAATTGGGGTATAAAACCGCGGATATCACAAGTTTGGAGAAAGAGTGGTCCAATAAGTAAAGGTCAACAAGAGCGCCAGAATAATTTACTGCGAGATACCCCTTATTGTAGATTAGTCACCAAATTATCAAACCTGGCTAATACCTTACATTTTACGGTATATGTTAACTCACAATACTTAGCCAATAAACGATTCTTAGTTAATCTATACAGTGAGCAAACGAAAAGACTAAATGCACGGTGACACGAGTCACTGGGCACCACAGGGCTAAAACTTGCTTTTAAAGATCGCCAATACTACAATACAACGAAAATCGGGTAAGTACCACAAAAAACATACAAATTTAATTAAAATAAATAATAGGTCATGACCAAACTAAACAATTAACATTATAAATGTATCTTTCAATACTATGAAATATCAGAACCTCTTTCTAAAATTGCTAGATCACTGTAACAAATAAAATTGCAACGTCAACACTCTGTATCTCACATCTTATTAATTTTTAGACTAATGTAAATTGTGTTAGATTGACATATTTAAGCTTCAAAAATTTGTGGTTGAATTTTATACAGACTTCTTTGAAACATTCTGTACATCAAAAAATTTGACTTTTCAAAGGCACTGAAGCAGCTTTTCCTATTTTGTCTAAAAATAAGCAAAAAGTAACAACAAGTTTTTTTACCATCTTAAAACTTTTCTCAGTAATAAACATATGGAAACTTAGCTAAATTCAACGAAACAATTAACTAAAATTCTGTGAAAGTCATACTTTATGTTGTTTACATGATTTATGAACCCTCCACGATTAAATTATTAAAAAAAAAATTACTTTTAAAGATCGTTTCTTGAAAAATATATTACATTAAAGTTCATACCTTCAGGTAGCTCATCCATCTTAAATCAGGAACCAATTTGTATGTAAGAGACACCACCGTGTCAAGAAACAAATAATGTGTTTACACACAAAAATTCACTATTGATTTTAGATTTGCACTAAGTCGTATCTATGGGGTAACATAACAACTAAATACTATAGATAAACAAATCCTGACAACGCGAGTTTATACAAATATTGTTTCGACTTCATTTGTAAGCATTTTGGGAATGCAACGCAAACTTGATTTATTGATTTTCGATCAAATTTATCATGTTAATACTCCAGTGTGCATTGGACAAAATTGAGGATTTACTCAAATTCTTTGTATCTTCTTTTTACTGGCACCTAGACTAAAAGGATGGCATTCAAGTTTTAGATTAGAGCAGTTAATTTAGACCTAAACCCAATTAATCATGTATGGTATGGGTGTAGAGGAAAGTGACAAGGGACTGGGAATTCATATTTTTACTTTCCTATCTGTATACAGGGGAAAGTATAGGAATCATGATTTTTTTCGACCTCGAGTTTTCGACGGATTTTTGTGTGTGTGTCTGTATAACGCATAACTCATGAACCGATACACAGAAAAACACATAATTTTAAACTTAAGCTTTGTTTCAGCGTTCAATGAGCTGATTAGATTTTGGGCAGAGTCGGAACATCTGGGGGGTACTTTATAGGTGGTCATTTTTATATTTTATGGAATATATCTGTTATTTACGTTTGGAAAAGAAAATTCTTTAAATAAAAGTTACTTCTAATATTATTATCTATAATTTTTGTTCTATACAAAATTTTCCTAAAATGGTCCGTATTCGCGAAATTTGACAAAATGTAAAAAAAATATTTTTTTATAAAAATTGTTCAAATAAAAGTTGTTTACAATATAATTCTCTATAATTTTTATTCCATACATAATTTCTCTAAAATGGACCGTATTCGAGATATTTGAGAAAATGTGTAAATTTCGAATTTTGAAGAAAACTCAAAAACGGATAAAGAAAAAAACATTAAATTTTAAACTTAAGGTTTATTTCGGCCTGACGTGAAATGATTAGATTTTAGACATAGTCGGAACATCTGGGGGGGTACTTTATGGGAGGCCACTTTTATATTTTATGGAATATATCTGTTATTAATGTTTGGAGAAAAAAATTGTTCAAATAAAAGTTACTTCTAATATTATTATCTATAATTTTTGTTTGATGTAAAAATTTCCTGAAATGGTCCGTATTCGAAAAATTTGACAAAATGTGCAAAATTCTGATTTTTATGAAAGTGTTTGAAATAAAAGTTGTTTGCGATATCGATCTCTATAATTTTTGTTTATACATGATTTTTCTAAAATGGACCGTAATGAAAAAATTGTAGGAAATTTTAATTTTTAGTATTTTCGTTTTACATGAATATTTATAGAAAAATATTTCGAGGTAGATGTATGTGGACAATGTATATATTTAGTTTATCCTCTAAACATTTATAGAGATGCTGCAATAGGTTGTAAAAAATAACCGGAAAAAGCCTATAATAACTAGATAGAAAAGTCATGTGTTGGACACATCAGATTTTTTTATTTATATTTCGTATATATGATTTCTTAGACATAAGTAAGTGACAATATTTTTTTTATATCTCCTATTAGATTTCTTACACATAAATATGTAAACTAACTAGTCATGTTGTAATTTTTTTAAATTAAAAACAAAATTGTGAGGTGGGAAATATATATCCTAAAAAAACTCAAGCGCCAAACAGTAGAGTTTGACTGAAAAGGTAATATATCTGCCTTTTTGAGCATGTTCTGTGAATAAACAAATAATAATTTTTTTTTTTTTTATAAAATTAAATACAATATTCTTTATACTTTAATTACATAATTTAATGCTGTTTTTACAACTGTTTCGGTGAAACTAAATAAATATTTGAAGTCCCACTGAAGTCTTCTAATGACTCGTGCGTGGGAGATATACATTATTTATTAGCTTTTGTTTTCTATTTCCTACTTAAATTTCTATTAAACAACTTGATAACTACTATAATTAAAAAAAAATAAAAAATTCTTCAGACCTACCTACTAAATGAAAATTATGTATTATAATCTTCAAAATAAAAGAAAACAATGAAAGAAAAGAAAATTAGAGATTATAAAGATTTCGAAAATAATTATATAACGTTTTATATAACTAAGAACAGGGAAAGAGCAGAGGGTAAGTAACATTATTTTTTTTAAGTTGAGTGTTGGTTTTAGTTTTCCAAATATTTTAATCATAATTCGTTTTTAATTTTTTTTTTAAATGGCTAGTATTTTAGTTTATAAATATAATTTTTTTAAATTTCTTTTTTTTTTATGGAGGATCTATTATATCATGTATTAAAATACGGGGTGTTCGTAATAACCACTTTTTTACACTTTTTTTAAAACTATAAAGGCTATTTATATTTCTATACATTTCTGGAACCTGCGAATAAACACGAGGAGCTACATATTCGAAAGATCCTTGACCAATTTTTTTATTGGCTCTATGTGTCTGAATTTGTTTATTTTGTTTGTAGCGAGTTGGATAAGAATGTAAAATTTTTTGTAATAAATTTCTTTTTTTGTGTTGAATATTTATGATTCTATTTGCATAGATCTGTCTCATGTCCATTGCATTCGATTCCTCGTATGTATTTTCACTTCCATAAGTTCTATTTTTGTTTATAATAATTTTAAGTATCAACTTTTGAACAATTTCAAGCTGATTTAAGTGAGTTTTATAAATACCACCCCAACCTGATATACCGTACTGCAAATGACTTTAGACTAAAGAAGAGTATACCATTTTCAATTGGTGGAACTGAAGTATGCTTTTTAATTGTTTAAATTTGTAGATCAATGATCTAATCCTTTTAGTTACCGACTTAACATGAATATCCCACTTTAGATGACTATCAATTTCAATGCCAAGGTACCTGATATGATTTGCTTTTTCAATAATAAAGGTCTCTTTTTCCTCTGAAATATCTATTTCGTCGAAGTCTGGTTCTGTACTCTTATTACACGAAAATGCTATGTATTTTGTTTTGTTAAAATTAATTGTTAGTCCCATCTCATCAAACCAGTATTTCATTTTTTTAAAATCATTTTGAACCAGCTGTTTTAGTTGGTTCCAATTCTCAGCCTCATATTGGATAACAGTGTCATCTGCGAATGAAGAAATGGTACCTTCTGAATTTAATGTTAAAAGGCGATTTATGTAAATTGAAAAAAGGAGTGGACCTAAAACTGTACCTTGTGGTACCCCAAATTTTATTTGTAACGAATTACTTAAGGTATCATTAATTTTTACAAATTGTTCTCTTTTTTCCAGATAAGAAGTTACTAGTTTCAGAACAACACCCCTGACACCAAATTCTTCCAACACAGCCAACATGATTTTGTGGTTGACTGTGTCGAATGCCTTGGCCAGGTCAAGAAAAATACACAGAGTTGCTTTATTATTATCTAGGCCTTTATAGATATTATTTGTCAAAAATATGATTGCATCCTCAGTAGAAACATCTTTTCTAAAACCGAATTGTCTTCCTGAAATTAATTCATTCTTATCTAAAAATTCAGTTAACCGTTTTTTAATAGCTTTCTCTACGATTTTTGTAAGATTCGATATTAAAGTAATCGGTCTGTAATTTATCATTTGTTTTCTATCCCCTTTTTTATAAAGCGGTTTTACAATACCGATTTTTAAGCTATTTGGAAATATACCGAACATAAATATGTTGTTGATAATATGGCAGAGTGGCTTTTTAATATAATGTGCAACTAATTTTATGGTGTTTGAATCTAGTCCATCGTAACCTGGGGCTTTATTTGGTTTCAATTCGTTTATATATCCTAAAATTTCAAGTTCGTCAACCGGGCTTAAAAATACAGTTTTATTACAAATGATTCTGTTAGTATTATTTTTTTTTCTGGTATCTTTTCAGCCATAGTTTCAGCTATATTTATATAGTATTGGTTGAATTGATTTCCAATTTTAAATTTATTATTAATCAGTCGGTCGTTAACCTTTATTTCATTTATATTATTTTGCTTTACTTTTTTATTCGTAAATTCATTAACGACCTTCCAAATTGCTGTGCTATTTTTCGAGCTTCTTATTTTATCAGTGAAATAGTTTCTCTTTGCACTTTTTATGATAGACCGTACGTGAGCCTTATACCTTTTATACTCCGCTTCAATTTCCATATTACCAGGACTGTTGAGAAAGTTAAGATATAAATTTTGTTTAGTTTGTACACAGGTTACAATTTCAAATTAAAACATAAGCAACTAGACAAGGAAAAATAGCTTTATTGAACTTTGAACTTCACCCCCTAAAGTTTTAACATTTTTCTACATTCGGCAGTCAAAATTTGAATCAAAAAATTTCCCAAGCCAAAATATTTTTTAACAAAAAACATGTATTTTCTCTTATAAAAAACCCATAGGGTACATACCTAATGTAATATGTAATACGAGTATACTGGTCAAAATATTTATACAAAAAATAAAAACAAAAATAACAAAAAAAATCATTTTTTTAGCACTGTTTACTATAAAATAAAAAAAAAATTTAATTATTTCTTTCTAGTAAAATATAATCTACCTGTACTTGCCACAAATTGTATTTGTTTTTGAAATAATCAAAAGATATTTGTAAACAATTAAGACAAACTGTATCAACTACCACAAACTGAACAAAAGTACCATCCTGAAGAGACCAGTGGTATAAAAAGTACCCGCCTAGTACTAACTATTTCAAATTAAAATATTTTTTTCGACAATTGTCTATTAAAACCATAGATGCCACTAGCAGTTCAAAATGTTCTTTAAAAGTTGGGACCTATGGTTCCTTTTAAAATATTTTTTTATGTGGTTTGGGAAATTGTTATCTTAGAGGCACTTAAAGAGCTAAAAGCTCCATGCCAACTCAACACCTTATTGTTTCATCACATCTATCCTTGAATTTCCCAAGGATATGTTTTTTAATTAGGTTTG